CCATCGCCCGCAGCCGCTCCCCCCGTCCACCATGCACCAGAGCGGTCTGTCCAGCCCTGAGGGCGGCGGCGCCTACGGCCTGTCCTCCGGCCGCCACGGCTTCTCCAGCTACTCCGACGGCTTCATGGGCCCCGCCGCGCCCGGTAACCACGGCAACCCCGCCGGCAGCGGACTCTCCCCACAGGTAAGGCATCGAGCCCGTGTTAACACCATTCTGTAGTTGGAAACCTGAGAATATACCAGACCAAAAGTACAAAAATAAAATGTATTGGGCTCCTCACAGACAAAAAGAGCAAAGAGCCCCGAACTCCGTGTGTAATGGGTCTTTGTCTCCTGGGCTGGGCACACCCCTCAAAGGAGGACTGGACACAACCAAGTCCTATTGGCCAGTTACCTCTGGGCATAAACAGGCCAGGTCCTAATTCATGCAGATGACAGGAATGTGGTAAAAAATGGTGTGAGTGTGTGTTGACCTAAAGGTGTGTAACAAAGAAAGAAAAAGAGAGAAAGAGAGAGTCTGTGGACACAGCCAGAGACTTCAACACAAAACATAATTATAAAAGAAAATAAAACAATCAGTAATTTACATAGATCACGTGATAGCATACAATGCTAAAGTGAGTAATTAGAGCCAAATTCTAACACCTGGGCCGTACAGGTGCAGACACTGGGCCATGACGGGTCAGCTAGGTGACCATTTCTCACTGAATGTAATGTGAATCCTCCAAAGAGGTCGATGACATGCTGGTCAGCGTTTGCTCTTGGTGTGTTTCAGAATTATGAGCTGGTTTGAGCACAATGGTAAAAGTATAAAGATGCTGCACAGGTGGAAACACCTGTTCAAATTCTTAGAGACCTGCTGCTACTATCAATGAATAGATCAGCCAATAGCTTTCTGGAAAAGTCAGAAACACTGTATATTCAGCATTTGATTTGTTTCCTATAATCTTTACTGAATGATTCGTTTTTTTACCGAGTGGCTTTCGCGCGGTTTCTTGTTTGGCCTTTGGACAGTTCAGTTAACACTGTTTCAAATTTTTTTTCCCCCTCCTCTCCACCTTTAACAACAGAGATGGAGTTATTGCATGTGTGTGGTGTTCTGTAGGTGGTTCTTCAGGCTTAACTATAGCAGTTATTGTGCTTCCCTTTGCATCAACCGGCCATAAATCTGCCCAGAGTTTCCTTTGTGTAAATTCTCATTCTCATTAGGGTCTCATTCCTGCCCCACCAGCCCTTAGGAACGCTGGCCGCCCTCGCCTCCTCACATCCCTCCTCTGTTTTATGGCGTCATCGCTCTGACCTGTGTCTCCCTGCACATCCAGGCCTGAAACTGGAGCCTTTTTGTGGGCTTTTGATGGCGTCTTTGTGTTCTCTGAATGTGTTACATATGAATGAATACGGAGATGCAGTTTTGATTAAATGCCCTAATTTTCTGCTTGCCAAGAAAAGGGTTAACATGGCAACACATGACAGTGAGTTCGTGTGTGTGCACGCACAAACGTGATGTTGAATACGTGAAAGCCACGATGCTCCCTGTTTTTATTTAGGGCAGGGTCATGTTGTGTTTGCAGAAAAAAGCCAGGATGTGTCACTAAAACATGGCTGCTGAACCCTGTGCCAGACTTACTGTCATGGGAAGAATTTCTTTCCACATTTTTAATATAAATAACAATACTGCACAATCATTCACACTCTTTAAATATATACTGTAGTTTTAAGAGGTGGTGATATTAGAAAGGATGTGCAAACTTTAAGGGAAATCATTGCCTTTTTGGTAAAGACTGGCTGTTTTTAAGTGGATTTGCTAGCCTTCTTGACCCAATAACAATTAAAGGCATTTGAGAAAGAGAGGCTGAAGATTTGTGTGGCACCAGCATGCAACCAAACCTAACAGCTATGAGCTTTGTGTGGAGAAGACGGAGTGGTAGTGGAAATGTGAAATGAATATCCGGTGTAAAGTTATTCAGAGGCAATCAACGGTCGGCTCCTCCCTCCCCAGAACCCACAGAATGAGATTTCTGCTCCTCATTTGCTGTTTTCGCCATTGTTTCCGCCTTATTTGTTCAGTTTGTTTATGCCTTCAATTCTCTTTGGTTATTTTAGGGTTGAGGTAAATAAGGTTTAGTTACTGTGATAAATAGACGTCTAACCATCTTCAGAGAACTCATCTGAGGGAGGCGGTTTTCATCTGTGACACAGAGGAGGTGTCTGTGCTCATTCTGAGCCCCAGCTGAAGCTTTTCCATTATGAGCTCACTGAGGTTGACCCTTTCATCATGTTCACAGGCATTTACATGCGATAACAATGTGGGATGAATTTCATAAGTTCCCTCTCCAAAATTGCAGGAAGGTTGCTGAAGGTCTGACAGCCGATAATTCAATTTGGAACAGCTTTATTACATTTGGAATGTAATTCAGCCAGGCGTCTCTCCTGCTTCGTCTTCCCAAATTGAATGGGAGTAATTTTGAGGTCCACTTTCATGTTGAGATGGAGTCTGAAGCCAATTCCACGTTGTACTGACAGATAGCAAGAATGAAATGCCATTCCTGGCAGCATTTGTAAATACTAACCTCTTCACAGCTTTGCTTTGGACTTGTTATAAAACCTACAAAAATGTTTTTTTAAATGCACTTTTTTGGAACAAATTCGCATGAATACATTTAGCTTCCCAGCATATCTCTCTTTTGTCCACCACTGAGTCCATTTTGTCAGGTCAGATACGTTAGTGTCCGGCCATTAAGGGTCAGACTGTCACCTCTTGTGTGACCCCGGCCTCTGAACGCCTCGCCAGAGTAAAGAGGAGCACATTTCTCCCGTCATGCTCACATTTCCTCTCTGGTTTGTTGTGAGGGGAAGGTTTAGCTCGCCTTTGAATAGCGGAGCTCTTGGACTCCCTATTTGATGTTGGAGGGAGAGATAGAGAGGGAGCCAGTGAGCGGGGATAGAGTGGAGTGGGTTTCAGTGTTGGGGGGATCAGAGCTGCTTTGGTTCTCCAGCTCTGTCTCTTTGATCCATATCCCCAGGCCTGCCTGCCTGCCTCGCTAACTCAGGCCTCTGCTCGTGATTCCTGACAACTGTCGGCCTGAGATAAGGAGGTGGGATGGGGGATGGGGGGCGGGAGAGGGGGGGGGGGGCTCTCTTCTCCTACCCCCACCCACAACATGCTCTGCGCCATCCAATGCAACTCCACCACATGCTCTTCCTCTTAATAATGAACTCTGTAGAAATGAAATGGGATGAGAAAGAATAAATGTGGGAGGCGTGAGGGGCCGTTGGAGCTGTCCATCTGCAGCCCCCCCCAGTCCACAGCCTCTGTCCGGGAGGGTACTGTCAAGTGTTATTCTCTACTGCTATTAAATTTCGCAACACTAAGCCCTTTGACTAGGCATGCTGTCAACTGGCATGCTCCCATGTCAACATATCAAACAGGATGAACACATATATTTACATCATTCCCATAATAAGGAAGAGAGTCGAGGAGGGGGTTGATGTTAATTAGAAAAAGCCTGAAAAAAAAATAAAAAAATACGCCGCTTACATTTTTCCCCAAAGCAAAGCAAGGAGCTTTATATGGAATAAATAAATAAATAAGTAAAAATATATCCTACAAGAGAAAGCTGCCAAAAATAAAGGGGAAAAAAAAAAGCTGAGGAATTCAAATGATGCCCACTGATGGTAGGTTTGTAGGGAAGATTGTTCTTTGTCACTCAGGATGTTCTCCTTGCCTCCTTCTTAAGTGGAAACTAAACAGGGCCCAAGGAGCAATCCGCCTGAGTGGGTTGGAAATTCACTGCCGTGAGTTCTATAAAACAGACGAGAAATAGCAGTTCATCTCATCACTATCATCTGCTTCACTATTTATCTGCTATTTATGTCCAACCCATTCATGAATGTGTTGATTTGTTCTAATTCTGAAATCAAAACCAAATGAATGATATATACTGATGAGTTACAGGCAGCATCTTATATGTCAGCTCTGTTGCAGTGTTTGGACAGAAAGGCTTGTTTAAATTGGTCACATGTTCATATTTAAGAGCTGCTGAGCCATGGATTCATTTATTTGAATGAAAAAATAAACTGATCCAGTCAAAGTAGGTTTTGGGTAGTTTTAGGACAGGGGCGTAATGAAAGAAAGCAGGTTTCAGATATACCCGGCTTCAACTCACCAGATTTAGATCAGAGAGATCTCCTCAAGTTTAGATTCTTCAGTTTTTCACATTACTAATAATGATGCATTGATTTTAATCAGGTGTATTGAAGCAGAGGGTGACACATGGAAAGCTGGATCCGAACACAGGGCCAAAATAAGGACCAGGAACTCTAGGTGAACGTAGGTTTATTCTCAAAAAGGCACAAACGGAAAGCACTACAAAGCCGGGTAAAACCACAGACAGACTTTTGCCACTAATAAACTAAGTAAATTAATAAATTAACCCAGACAGATTATTTTGCAAATACTTTCCCTCGTCTTCAGCTCAGGTGCTCTTGTTCTGCAGTTTTCTCTATCTATTTGTGTTAAAACGAATAAAAATAAACTGTAGGTGTGCTTACTGGGGTTTGGTCACTATGCAATCAAACTCCAATGAGTTTTATCTTTAGAAGATGTGGATTGGAGCAGCCTGAGTAGACGAAACCGAAATAAATCAGAATCAGAAATACTTGAGTAATTCCAGAGGGAAATGATTTATATTATTATTTTGCTCTTTTTTTTCTTGGGAGATGAACATTGGTTGTATATCCAGCTGCAGTCAACATGGAATGGATTCATAAATGATTATCTATCAAACTGACTAGAAGTGAAGACATCCAAACTGTGGACATAGAAGTGGTCAGTAGGACTAATAACTAGTTAAAAACAGCTCGTGCTGATATCACATCTAGACCATAGTCCTATTGTTAGGGGTTATCCATCTTCCAGGTCGGCCTGGTGATGAGTGCAGTTCATCAAAAAGAAGTGAAATGTTTCATCATGACACCCAGTTTGAGTTTTTTCCTCAGTGCTAATGCGGGAAGTTTGGATTTTCAGGATTACTGGCTGTTGGGGAGCATGGAATGATTTAATAGTAACCTGTGATTGCGTCAGATAATCTGCATTGCCACTGATTTGCCTCAAATTCTTTGCCATTACTGTCCCCCCTCTGACTCCAACAAAGAGATGAGAGGGAACAGAGTGATAAATCAGGTTTCATCCAAACATCTCCACATCATTCTTAATCCCACTGGCTTTATCCACCCACAGCCATGCTCAGTGGGACACCATAGAGCACACTGCATCACAGTGAGTGTAGTGGCTGAGCTAATGGCACGTGATGAAGACTATTCCTTGATAAGTCAAATACACAATTCTGAGCTAAGTAGTAAACTGAGAGCTGGAATAAAAACAGAAAAGAGAGATGTGGGAGATACGCGTTCAGAGGAGGGAATGAACAGGAGATGTACAGTGTGTCTTCAACATAAACTCATCACCTCTGCACACCGTTTCGCTTTCATCTCCCCATCTGTTCAAAACTCCTGACCCATTCAAATGGGATGTAATGGTCTTATGCCCACAGTCTCTTCCTGTGTCTGCCTGTCCAGATTCCTCTACCGTCCACCCTCCATTGACACAAGAGATGACCTTCACTCATTCTACAAATTATTTTAATTTATTAAAATTATAATAATTTACCTATAAGATTTTTCTAAAATGATTTTATATCTGAATCAGCAGATGCTAGTTAGATTGTATAGCACTGTTGTATAGTCTGTTGACAACAGGTTTGAGACACGTCAATAAGAAATATTTATTTCTGCACATTAAAGTAAATCCTTCAAAAAAGCACTGTGCCAGTTACTGAAATTGTCTTAATTTGACCTTAATTTAATTCAGTACGACTGCAATTTTACTGACAGCTATTGCAGTATTTATAATAGAAGGGATATTTTCAGACATTAGTCTTTCAAACAAGACAAAAAATTTCTGTGATTTTAAATTATTATTCAATAAAACCTGAATAATAGAAGGATAAACGTTTTTAATTAACAAGAGCTCATGAATTCTAATTACAAAACTGTCAAGGACAATATGTTGGACCACCATCTTGATGAGACCCCCAGATTACAGGGCTACCAACATTTTTAAAGCGATTACAGGCACATAAAACTAACTATTCTGTACTTCTTAAAATGCTTTATCATATCTGATATGCTTTCACATTGTACTTGCCTGTTAAAAAAGGTTAAAAGAGAGAACAGGGTTAGGCTTACTGCCCCCCACCGACCAAAGCAACGCACAAGTAACAGTGACATGTCCATTTTGAGTGCTTTAGTCCTGAAAAAGGCAAACACAACATTTTGTGGGGTCAACCACTCCTTATAGAACAATGTCTCCTCGAATTGTATGGAACTCATAAACCATCATGACACTTTATTTGTATAATCGATTAGATAACAAAGGGGTTTGTAAAGGGGTTAAATGATGGCAGCATATGAGCAATTTTTATTGAAAGATTTGGAAAAGAGCCAACATCTTCATCATTGCATGCATGAACATAAATCAATTGCTTCGAGGTCAGCGAGGTCTTCCTGGTTCCTCTCTACAGCTTCCCCAGCAGCTTGGTGCCGCCCAGAACTGTGCGGCTTGGTAAAATCCCGTCGTGTTTGGCTGCGCTGCTTACAGGGATTTCAACAAGTGGTTTCCCCTGTGTGATGTATCTCCACTAAACCGTCGCTCCAATTTAGCTGCCGGAGCCATGGATTGTCAGCGCCAGTTCAAAGAGCGCAACTGACTCCCAAAAAACCGGAACCGGGAACTTCACATAAGCCGTCTGTCTGACAACAACACCATTAGGGCCTCCTTTAAGAGCAGCCTGGCCCACTTATGGCTTCTTCTTTGCCCTGACTGTTTGAAATGTACCACTTCACCAGCTCTTTTTGCCCTACGGCAACTATTCAGGCACTGAATCACCCTCAAATGACCAGTGGTGGGAAGTAACGAAGTACAAGTACTTCGTTACTGTACTTAAGTACAATTTCCGTGTATCTGTACTTTACTTAAGTAGATTTAATAATGGATACTTTCTACTTTTACTCCACTACATTTAACAGTAAGTATATGTACTTTCTACTTCACTACATTTCTATACAGCGTTTCGTTACTCGTTACATCCAAGACGCATTTCGTTTTTTTTGATTTGTTCGTTAGTTTTGATTTGTTCGTTAGTTTGAAAGTATCCAATGGTGAGAGCAGAATCAGTCCGCTGAACCAATCCAAAGCAGGAAATAACCATTAGGGCCTCCCTCAAGAAGAGCAGCATAAAATATCTAAATCTAAACTGTCACAGGGGGTAAACACAAGAAAAACATGCTTTATCTGCAGCATTGCTCATTAAAATGCTACATTACTGATTTATTAAAATCAAATACGATAGGTACACTTAATGACATTATATAAGCCGTTAGGTATTATGGTTGGCAAGTACTTTTACTTTTAATACTTAAGTAGTTTTAAAAGCTTGTACTTTCTTACTTTTACTTAAGTAAAATAATAATGTGGTACTTTGACTTTTACTTGAGTAAATTTTTGTCTGTGTATTTGTACTTTTACTTAAGTACATTGTATGAGTACTTTCTCCACCACTGGATGTGAATAAAACTCCCTGCTAAAGTCCTCTCATCCTGTGTAACAACAGTTGTGGATGTATTGTCTACTGTGAGTTTTTCTTGAGTAGCTCTTGAGCTGTGTTCATTTTACTGTTGTGGATCAGCCTGTCTCTTAGGTGGCCTGGTTTTAAGAACTTGACTCTCATAGAGCTGCTCCTTCCACTCAGAACAACTTAGACTTTATTCACAAAAAGATGAGGAAAGATGTGCCCCAACTGGAAAAAAGAACGAATGGACAACAAATATAGAAATAATTAAATAAAATAGAATAATTCATTCAACGGGTGATAATGAATAAGATCGAAGACACATGTATAGACCAAAATTCTTTAATAAAACAGACCATAACAGAAATAATATTGACATTTTGATGACACTATAAGGAATATCCAGACAGTGATGGTTATCCCTTTGACAGTTCTTCACCATGGTCAGCAGTAATGATGGTTAATGTGGCTTGTTGGTCACAACAAGCTTGTTGGTGGCTTGTTCTTCTCTACGCTGAGAAGAAGCTCTCTGACGTTGGCTGTGGCGTGTGTCTGCAGGTCATGAGCATCCTGGCTAACCCCGGCAGCGTGTCCTCTCAGCCCCAGCACGACTTCTCCATGTCCCCGCTCCAAACCACCATGGACTCCTCCCCCTCCAACAGCATCTCCACCAGCTGCAGCCAGCGGCCGGCCGAGGCCCCCATAAAGCCGGTGGACAGTGTCCCCTCCTCGCAGCCGTACTGCCCGCCCACCTACAGCGCCAGCAGCTACGGAGTGGACCCGGCCGTGGCCGCCGCCGGATACCAGTACAGCCAGTACGGCCAAAGTGAGTCCCACCAACGCAACGCATACAAGAGAACTACATTCAAGCTAAGGTCAGAGATACAACGGGGGAAATAAGTGTTTGACCCCTTGCTGATTTTGCAGGTTTGCCCACTTACAAAGAATGCAACGATCTGTAACTTTAATCATATGTACATTCTAACAGTGAAAGACAGAATCCCAAAGAAAATTCCAGAAAATCACGTCATATGAATTTATAAAAATTGATAACCATCTGATGAGGAAAAATAAGCATTCTTTGTAAGTGGGCAAACCTGCAAAATCAGCAAGGGCTCAAATACTTATTTCTCCCACTGTATATGAGCAAGTAAAGAGCAACTTTAGGCCCAAACAGCATAAAGTCCAAACAGAAAATAGATGATGGATTGATGGACGGATGGACAGATAGATAGATAGATAGATAGATAGATAGATAGATAGATAGATAGATAGATAGATAGATAGATAGATAGATAGATGTCGCTCACATTTTTTTGAAGAATACTCAGGACAAACATACTGTCTTTGGAAAGAGTCCATCTATCCATTTCCCATACTTTCTTACTCCTACTTGGGATGGTGGGGGCTGGAGCCCATCCCGGGTGCCATTTGGCCAAAGGTGGGGGACACACCTTAGACAGGTAGCCAGTCCATGACAGGAGTGGACAGAGACCCATGGGACAGACAACCCTGCACACCCCCCACTCCCCCCCATGGGCTGTTTGGTGCCATTAAAAAAAAAAAGAGATGGAAGGAAACACACCGCCCCCCCTGCCGAAAACCCGGCAC